TCAGTATGATGACGATAAGATTGAATCATACTTGGACAAACTAAAGGATTTACAAAAAGACTTTCAAAAAAGGTTTAAAGATTTGCATGAACTAAAATCTTCTTTAGAATTTATAGTAAATCCTTTTTTAATTAATATTATTAGTAATGGCTGTCCAATTCCTAAAAAAATGCTTGAAGATATATCTCAATTTGAAATGGAACTACTAGATCTCCAAGAAGATCAAAATCTACTTATGCTGCATAAAACAATAACTTTTATGGAATTTTGGAAGATAGTTCCCGAGGTTAAGTATCCTCAACTTAAAAAGATTGCCATAAAATTTATTTTACATGTGAATCTTTATTCACATATTTATTATACATGTGAATCTTTATTCTCTACTATGAAATTTGTCAAATCAAAGTATCGTGCAAATCTAACCAGTGAGCATTTGTCTGAGTTACTTAAAACAGCCACTACAAGTTTGAAACCAGATTTTAATAAACTTACCAGTAAAGTTATGAGTATTAGTTTGATCAAAGTAAAAAATTGATAAAATGATGAAAAAGTTATTTCTTGATTGTAAAAATCAAGTAAAATAATCTAATTTTAGTGTTGTTTTTTAATTATTATTTCATTGATATAAGCATTGTTATAATTTTGTTAATTAAAAAAAAGTTTATGATTAGCATGTGCTTGTGCAAAAATCATAAAAAAGATCAGTGTGTTGCACAGCACATGGCCAGTGTGTTGCACAGCACCTAATCGTGTGCTGTGCAAAATCAGCGTGATCATGTGATTGTCGAAAATTATAGAAATGATTTTTTAGTCTGAAGGGAATTTTATAAAATAAATCAGATATAATGGCATTGTAAATAAAACTTTAAAGGAATAGTTTTTTCTTTAAAAAATTTATTGAGTGTTTTAAAACAATTAACTAAATTCAATTGTATACATATTTTACTTAAATCTTTAAAAAATGACTTTTTGTATCCAAGAAATATCTAAATTTCATATTAAAATGATATTGTTGAATAGTAATACAACAATTATTTCCACCCCTTAGGAGCATATGGAATTTTCTAAATAATTTGTATTTTCTAAAAAATTTTCTTTAAAATATGATTTTAAATAGTGAATTACAAATTGTTATTTTTATATGAAACCAAGAAAATGGGCTAGTACTAGAAGTTTCTAATTTTTTGGGTAGTTTTTTTTACTTATCTAGTACGAAAGTCTCTTAAAATTCAGATTATCAAAAGAAAGAGTATAAAAGTTTCTTATATAAAAAAACAAACATGAAGTTGTTGCGGCTCTTTGGCTCACGTAAGTATATAAATGCGGCTCTTGTGACAAAACGTCTGGCCAGCGCTGATATATATATATATATATGTGTATATATATGTGTATATATATATATATTTGTATATATATATATATATATATATATATATATATATATATATATATATATATATATATATATATATATATATATATAATACTACACTAATTATTTTATTTAATGTTTTGTTAATATTAATATTAACATTTACATTAACATAAAAATTATTATTAACATTATTATTAACATTAACAATAACATTAATATTTAATATTAACTTTAACGAGACTTTAATTTAAAATTAATACTTTATCATTTCAATGTTTATTTGACATGAACACATTTCTAAATGAACTAAAATGGTTTTTAAAGGGATCCCAAACCTTCAAGATTGGGTTCATATTTAAGAGAATAATTTAAAAAAATGTTAAATTGTTAAAATATTAAAAAAAGCTAAATTCTTTTGAATAAAACAAAAGAACAAACGCATATCAAGAAAAACTTTTGTGCTTTAGTCAAAGCTTTCTCTGATTTGTTATCAAATAGTCTTCTTAATATACGCCGCAATCTACAGACTTAATTTAAAATTTATTCAAGCGCGTTTTATTCATAAGAGTTTCAGTACATGACGCCATCGATTTGTTTGCTTAAAAGATCAATTATGTACTCAATTTAAAAAATCAATGACGCCATGTACTAAAACTCATAGAAATAAAATGCGCTTGAATAAATTATTAAGTCTGTAGATTGTGGCACATATTATAAAGACTATTTGGCCTACATTAAAACGAAAAAGACGAGCTTTAATTCTCTTTAATAAGAACACAACATATCTGGGAGGTTTGGGATCCCTTTTAGATCTGATATTTTTAAAATTTCATATTTTAGATAGATATATTGTTTAATTTGCACAAAAACTTTTGTGTCCTGTCTGTTTGGTCATCCAATACAAGAAAGGTTAATGAAAACAGCAGCTAAAATATTCTAAGAATGATTAAAATACATATTTTACAATATGATTTATTATTGAAATTCTACTAATAAATCTAGGACTAATTATCTGGTAGCATTTCATAGAGTAAATAAAATGTTATGAAAACTCATCCTCATTGTCTGTGACAGACAATGAGGATGAATAAACTATATGATCAGGTAGAGAAAATTTTTCTGTACTATATTATTTTGCAGAAGAAAAATCTCAGTATTCCATTGTTGTGTTTGCTATGTTAAATACATTTTTGAGACATCTTGTTGAAAAGTGAATAGGAGTGAATATAAAAACTCTAAAAGGTTAGTCCACAAGGTTGTGTATTATTTTATAGGTCATATGGTCGAACTTTATTCTACAACATTCAAGAGAGTCAATATAAGAGATAATAAGTCATGAAGCATATTTATTGTATGAAATACTACACCTTTTTACAGACTCTTGGAGTCTTACAGACTCAGACAATTATTTATTGTATGATTCAGACATATTTATTGTATGAAATAATGACATGTAATGACAAATAATGACAATAATGACAAATAATGACAAATAATGACAATAATGACACTCAGACATATTTATTGTATGAAATACTACACCTTTTTACAGACTCTTGGAGTTCTTACAGACTCAGACAATTTAAGCACAGTGTGCTTAAATTGAATTTAAATACGTGCAATATTCAGAAATACTGTGTATTGTATTAATTACTACCTCAGTATTATATAAGACTAATTTCCATTTTACCACCTTTTTTGTATTTTTTATTTTTTTAAAGCAAATATATTAAACAATATAATATAAATCTATTGTATATAATCAATTAAAAATGTAATATAAAATCAAATAGTAGTATTGTGTTTTAATTATTGTGTAAAATTCTAAAATAAAATACTTCTTACATACTTTTTCTTAAGGAACCATAATACCTTTTATGACTAATGTAATTTTAACTTTAAAATTTAATTTAAAAGTTGTTTATGACATACTATCTTTCATATTTTGAGCTAATCAAATGAACTTTTTTAACACAAAACTTGATAGCACGCAGATTGTTACTACATTTTGGAAAGCATAAACTATATATAACTTATATTACCTTGTTAAATATTAATTTATATATTAATTATAAATAGTAATTAAATAAAATTAAACTTTTTTTTTTTGGACTTGTATAAAAATTAAATATAGTTGCACTTTTGAATATATTTTTATTAAATTTTTAAATATACTTAACATACCACCAAGCTCATGATCTTGCAAAAGTATTTTTATTTTAAGTAATCTCCAAGGTATATCATCTCCATCACCCATCAACATTAACATCACCTTAAATGAAATATTGATAACAATATGAGTAGCCTAATAACAATAATGCATGATAGTAGTAAATGAGGGAGCAAAAGCTGACTGTAATGGCCCCCTTGGCTTAGAGGTAAACATACAAAATACCCAAATACTAAAATAAAAAACATTTCATATTATAAAGAATAATATAACTGAAGATAAAAAATATCTATACATCATGTAGTCTATATACTATGTATACATCAATGTAGTCAATGTGACTTACATACTCTTCTATTCTGCATTACCATCTATATGCAAACTATATATCATATATATAAAGGAGTAATTTGTATATCATCTATATATTTATATATCTAATCAATTTTATTCTTATAAACTTATTTTTATTGTTAAAAACTGGCTATATTGGTTAATTAATTTTTTGTAAAAACAAAAACTGGTTAAATTTCAATAAATATTTTTTTTTTCAAAATATTTACAAGCAATTACTAAAAAAAAAACTTTAACACCAGAAATTTGTTTTAATGTAACTAGCAATTATTAGAGCACACTCTAATATTGCAATTTAATGAAAATAGCCTTAGTTAAATTATGAAATAAGCAAGGATGACAAGGGTTAATACTTACTGGAATAAAGGGTTAAGGCTTACTGGAATATAAATACAACTACTAAAATTTATTTACTGGAAAATATATATTTTTTGAAAATAACCAACTGCCTTCTCCTAAACATTTCACTTATAAATTTTGGCAGAAACTGAACCCCTTCTTGCATAAAATTTTATGTACTAAATTACACAGCTCTAAACTCAACCCTCCAACTGGTTTTATTTATTTAACCTAGCCTAAACTATTTAAAGTTGCATATACTATATACTTTCATTAATATAAAATTGTACAAAAACAATGTAAAATATCTTTCAACCTCAAACTCGTTTTGCACTGTTAATGTTACTTTCCCATCACCTAAAGCAAAAATAATTAAAAATAAATGATTGTTAAAAGACTAATAAACAAAAGTATACTTAAATTTACTTACATATTTTAATATTACTAAATTTTTTTGGTATTTCAGAAACACATAATCTGTACTGTATAACTTCGTCAAGTCGTTTCAGTGTTTTTGTTTTTTCTTCAGTGCTAATCGGATCAACGGGTACAATCTTAGTCTAAAAACATTTCATTGAACTTATATAAAAATTATATATTTATAATAACTATATATATTTCAAGAGTTAGCAAGATAAGGTAGGCATTTAGGTGTACTATTCACATTTTTAGGTGCAGACCTTAAATATATGTGAGCATGCACTAAAGCTGCCTGACAAATAAAAATATAGGTTGTACAAAAAGATCACAAAAAATACAAAGTAAACTCATTCTAACACTTAAAAATTTTCTTACATCACTTCTTATATCATCAAATTAACAATTAATTTCAATAAAAATCAATATTAGGATTTGGATGCTTATAATATCTTTTTTTTTATTATTTAACATTACTTCTTTTTATATTTATATATTATACTTTATATTTTTGTATTTATATAGTATATTTTATATATGCATATATATATATATGCATATATATATATATATATATATATATATATATATATATATATATATATATATATATATTATATATATATATATATATATATATGCATATATATATGCATATATATATGCATATATATGCATATATATGCATATATATATATATATATATATATATATATATATATATATATATATATATATATATATATATATAGGCCTTGGTAAAAATAAATGATTGTACGAGAGATGAAATGCCTGTTTAAAACAGACTTAGCGGGCAATGCCACTCACGCTGATAGTACTTGTGGAAGTGATCAGCATTTTCGCTTTTTTAATATTCAGATAAAAATGCTAACATAGAGAAAATAAATCGATTATGATAATTATGTTTTAGTAATGATTTTGTTATTAAAACATAAAAGTTACACTGCAATATTTTGTATCATATTATCTCCTAATGAGGGTACAGTTCAAAAACTCAGTTTTATGGTTCTGAGACCAGCTGGTAGTCAGGTTTCCTGAACTCTGTGGTAGCTCTCAGAGAGGCTGATTCCATAAACAGCTGAAAAATATCAAAGTACTAACAGTGTCATGTTGCGCATGGATGGTCCCTGTTTGTACTTTTGGTGTACATTGTCAAGGCCCCATTGGAGCCCTTTGTTATGGCTTAGGGTTTATCAATAGTAATGAGGCAATTGCTTGGGCTATTAAACAGTGTACTGAGTATTATCTATGTTTCGAGTCAAGTTCTTTAACAAAGTAACAAAAACTATAAAACACAAAAAAAACACTTTCATCACCAAGTTTGCTAAACCTATCATTCACTAATACTCGTGGTCTTTGAAGTAACTTTTCTTCTGTTGAGCCTTATCTCTTGCAAAGTTCACCAGACCTTTGCTCTTTGTAAGACTAATTTGAGTTCAGCTGTCTCATCTTGTGATCTTAGCGTTGATGGTTAGCTTCCTTTAATTCTTAAAGACTCCAATAGTCATATGCTTGGCCTGGGCATTTATATTCGTAAAGAATTCACCCATTTGTTGGGAAACTAGACTTGAATTCACAAACTACTCTTTTATGTGCTTTTGTTTAGCACCACTTCAATCTATCACCTTTCTCTTTGTTCTATATCGCTCTCCTTCATCTCAAGGCTGCACTCTTCTTGATGTTATTTCTGATCATATTGACCAAGCCCTCTCTCTTTATCCATCAGCCAATATTGTTGTTATTGGTGACTTTAATGTTTATCACACTGAATGGCTTGGCTCTAGGCTCAGTGAATTTGCAGGCATTAAAGCCCACAACTTTTGCCTTTCTCAATCCCAAACTCAAATAGTCAACTTTCCAACTCGCTTTCCAGACAACCTGAATCATTTACCTTCTCTACTCGACTTGTTTCTGATCCTCGTCTTGTTTCTGATCCTAATCAGTGCTCTGTTTCTCCACATTCACCCTTAGGCGCTTCCGATCATGATTTGGTCTCTCTAAAACTATTATCTTATTCTTCTTTATCATCAGAATCCCCCTATCATTGTATATCTTACAACTACCTTTCTGTTGACAACATACATATATATTTATATGTACATATATAAATTTATCTATTTATATACATACATATATATACATACAAATATATATATACAGCCAATTCCTGCAGAGACCTGTATATGTATGTATATATGTATATATATATATATATATATATATATATATATATATATATATATATATATATATATATATATATATATATATATACATATATATATATATATATATATATATATATATATATATATATATATATATATGTATATACATATATATATATGTATATACATATATATTTATATGTACATATATAAACTTATGTATATATATACATACATATATACAGTCAGCGAAATTCAGGTCGGCATTCGGCAATGTTGACACAAAAGCCAACCTATATTTGCTTTAGGACGGCATACAACTGCCAACCTAAATATCCTAAAGTGTCGGCATACAAATTGAAATACATGTAAAAAATATATAATATTCATTAAATTTTATTTTGTAAATTTTAATATTGTAAATACTTGCTTTTCAAATTTGACATGTTTTATTAAAACAGTAATTCATTCATTTTGTTTCAATTCATTTTTTCTTTTTTTCTCAAATTTATTCAAGCATAGCAAAGGTTAAAAAATATTACTTTTTAAATGTTCTCACGCTTTTTTAAGCGCAATAGACGTCTTCACAGTTCCAATAATTTCATGCGCGCGCATATTTAATATTACGTCATGGTACTTTATGCGCAGAATTGCATGAAAACAAGTAAACACTCATATAAATTAAGATAGTAACCTTAAAAGAAACAGTTGTTTACATGAGATTTCTTTTATTTTTTTTTAAAAAGACATTGATTTAGTTTAATATGTTTATTTTACCCATTTTAAGTTTAAAATCTATACTGTTTATATGTTTTTGTTATATAATATTTGTAATCAAGAAAAAAAACAAATTTGTACGTTGAGTGTAAAAGTACTTATAATTGATTATTAAAAATGAGCTTTTGGGAAAGAAGATTGTTAAATAGTAATTTATATATATATATATATATATATATATATATATATATATATATATATATATATATATATATATATATATATATATATATATATATATATATATATATATATATATATATATATATATATATATATATATGTATGTATGTATGTATGTATGTATGTATATATATATATATATATATATATATATATATATATATATATATATATATATATATATATATATATATATATATATTATAAATATATACACACAAACACACTATCAATGCACATTTCACACTTGAAATGTGTAAAATGCAAAAGATAAAGAGTATTCTTTAAGAGCTTTTATTTCTTTAATACATATACTTTAAAACAAACATATAAAAAGTATAAATATATAAATAATATAAATTTAGTCTAAAAATAGTTAAAATAAAGTTAAATAATTCAAAATCGATACTTTTATTATGAATAAAAGTAAAGAAATCTCATGTAAACAACTGTTTCTTTCAAGAATGCTTTCATAGTATATTTCAATTTATTTTATTAGTTTAAACCATTTAACTAATAAAATAATTTATTTACGGGGTTTTTTTTATATCATTTAAGATCAGAAAGTATCTTAGGAAAGTTTAGCTTTGGTATAGTTATGTTAAACACACGTGGAGAAGAAACATTAGTTACAAAACTTTTTTTTAATTACTATCATTGAAAAATGGGGCTTTTAATACTGCGGATTTCAAACTGATGATTCAGGTGAAGTAATTTTAACATGGTGTAAAACTTGCCGAGAGTATTCAGAGCTTTTAAAAAATTGTCATAATAAAAATAAAGGCTGTACTAAATTAGCAACAGAAACGTTTGTATAGTTTTGTATAGTTCATACTATACTACAATTAAATATTAAAAAACACCACGCCTACTACTGGAGAATTAAATGCTTATTTCTTGTAAAGGTTAAACAACCAGATGTAAACTGTCTACTCATTTTATTTCTTGTAAAGGTTAAACAACTAGATGTAAACTGTCTACTCATTTTATTTCTTGTAAAGGTTAAACAACCAGATATCAACTGTCTACTCATTTTATTTTTTGTAAAGGTTAAACAACCAGATGTAAACTGTCTCATTGTTAATTTGCTGTTTTAAACAAAATCTTCTCCTACAGCACATTAAATTTGTATTTCTAAACGACATTTTTTCTATGAACAATTTACAAAACCAATTAAAATGTAATAAATAAACTATGACCATTTTTTTTGTAAAAAAAGACAACTTCAAAACTAAAAAATCACTAATTCATAAATTTGCTATATGCTTAATTTACTAAACAAAATTTAATTGCAACATTCTTTAAAATATTATTGTCTAAAGATATGCTGTTATAAAGCAATCCTTTTATAATCATTTAATCATTACCCCTGTTGTAACAGAAAGCAAAAAATCCAATTATAAATATATATATATATATATATATATATATATATATATATATATATATATATATATATATATATATATATATATATATATATATATATATATATATATATATATATATATATATATATATATACAGACACACACACAATTATTAAGTTTGTTAAAATAAACTATATTACAGTGTTGAAAAACAAAGTTAATTAAATGCATAGTTGTTCAAAAGTTGAAGAATTTCTTAAATCACTTATATTTATATTATAACCATGTAAATTTAGACAAAAATTTATATATTTTTTACTTTACAAAAACCTAATATTAAAACAAGCTTTACTTTAAAATCTCCCTATTACCAAAACCTAACTAAAAAGCTACTAGGTTAGTTACTATCTAATATCTAAGGTTAGTTAATATTTATAAAAGGTTAGCTAATATTTATAAAAGGTTAGTTAACATTTATAAAAGGTTAGTTAATATTTATAAAAAGTTAGTTAATATTTATAAAAAGTAAGTTAATATTTATAAAAGGTTAGTTAATATTTATAAAAAGTAAGTTAATATTTATAAAAGGTTAGTTAATATTTATAAAAGGTTAGTTGATATTTATAAAAGGTTAGTTGATATTTATAAAAGGTTAGTTAATATTTATAAAAGGTTAGTTAATATTATGCTTTATAAAAATGTCTTAGTAACTAACTTTAAAAGTTTAACCTGTTAATGGTGGATAACTACAGTGAGTTAATTAGTGTTTATACAGTTTGTTTACCAGATCATTCCCAATTGACTGTTGAATAGAATATAATGAAGGACTTTCCCAATTGTAGGGGACTTTTTTTTTACACAATATATAACAATATAATAGCAAAATAAGAAAGATTATACTTAGATATTAATAGAGAGATTACTATTCAAGGTTTACTTTTACACTCGCATTAGGCAAGCATATTCATTATACTAAGTAAACTGTCTTTCCTCAGGCTACAGAGCTATAACTGCCTTGAACAATATTGTAAACAAAACAAGTTGAGAAATAAAGACATACTTATTTTATGCTTTTATTTTTTCTAATTTATCTTTTATTTATTTTATCATTTGCTTATTTTTACCTTAATACATTTGGGGAGTCGGTTGAAACTACCAGTGGTAAGAACATCAACAGCTGTTGGAATGGAGAAATTTGGAAGCCTGCAACAAAAAAAAAAAAATTTTTTAAAGTTTAGGTTTTAATAATATAATTTGAATATACATGAAATTACTAATGCTAATTTGTTAAAAACTGTTAAACATATTGATTATAAACTACAAACTAAAGCATGCATGAATTGTAACTGATGACATATTAAAAAAAGTAGAAGCTCTAATAAATACAGCAACTTGTTTCTTTTTTAAAATTAAAAATTTATAAATTTCATTTAGTTTGTGCTAAAAAAAAATTACTTGATTATGATGTAATATTATGTAAAAAATAAAAAAGCAAAATTGATCAGTTTTTTCAAACAATGGTAACTATTCCAAGCCTTCTCAGGAGAGATGTGCAGTTGTACCCCTTATATGACCATGCACACAATATTTTGCTTTGACAACTTGGCAATGGCACTTTGCATGTTTTGATAACTTGCGCTGAAAAAACTAAACTAAAGATAAAATTAAAAAATAAACAAACCATATACTGAAAAGTGAAACAAAATCTCAATGAATAATAAAACAACTAAAAGATTAACCTGTGAAAAAAATAAAACTAATATACTTTTTTATTCTAGAAGGATCTCAATTAATAGTTCAAACCTAATAATTATTTTAAAAATATCTCAAATAATAATTTTTTCTATAACACTACTTAGTTTAGCGCTTAGGTTGATGAAAATCTCAATTTCAAATTTTTAAATAGTTAGGTTTTGAAGTAATTAGGCTTGGATTAAATAGCTTGGAAACTTGAATCTTTTCTAAACTCCATAAAATGAAACGCTTTTAAATTAAAATGAAGATATATATTAATTTTAAGCATTTTTTTTTTTCTGATTTATCTTTTATTTGTTTTATCATTTGTTAATTTTTTTTTTTTTTCAGTTTAGCTTTGTAGTTTTTTTTTAGTTTTTACTTCTCTTTTTAGTTTATGGTTTGTTTATTTTTAATTTACATTTGTTTATACAGCGCATTTTTTTGTGCTAATTTTCAAAACAAAAGGCGCGCAACAGCATGCCTCTCCTGAGAAGGTATTCTGTAATATTGTTGTGTATTATGTTATAATTTAAATAATTAGTATGTTAAAAGTATGTTAAAAGTAAAATTAGTATGTAAAAAAACTTTAAAGATAAGAACTGTTAGATAATAAAGAATGCATTTTGCTTAATTAATTGATTAGTCATACTTTTGTTTGTCTATAACTATTATATGTGTCAAAATTAATTAAACAAAAAAAAAAACTATTGGTTTGACTGTATATAAAATAAAGTTAACAAAACAACATACAACTGAATAAAGTTCACTTCGAGTAAACAAACAAATCAAAACAAAAACAAAGTGAAACGCATGCAAATGGAAAGGAAAAAAAAAAGTAAATTTGAAAAACTATTATCATAAATTTTTAAATGATTTGCTGCATTCCCACTCATTATTAGAGTCAAAATTTTTACAAAGAACAAGAGAAATTATTAAAATTTTTTGTAAATTTTTTCTGAAATGCAAGCCAGTTTTTCCGCCTTTTTATTCCTAAAAAAACAATTCTTTTTAGTATCCCTAAAATGACGAAATAAAAAAATGAAAGTTCAGTGGAAATATAAAGTTACCATTAAGCCCGGTAACCAGCATACTTCACTAAGCCAATTTTAGAAGGTCTATTCATAACTCATGCACCCATTGCTCCTGCTGAACCCTGTAGTCAATAAAAAAGATTTTATTGAATATAAGAAACAACTCTTGTTTGTTTTTCGTTTTACATCTTAAACCTAATGTTTTTTTTGAGTGTGATTTTTACAAATCATCAATGTTAGATTGAAAAAGAAAAAATGCTGTAGTACTGCATATATTGACTAAAATTCGCTACATTAGATTTTTTTTTTTTTTTACTTGTCAATCTTTTTAGCTATACACAAGGTTTAGCTATACACAAGGTTTAAAGTAAATGGCATAACTTTTTGCTTGAGATTGGAATCTTTTTTGGAGATTTGTCAAAAATGTGTCAATTTGTGTGATATAAAAAAGGTTGAAATCAAGAAAAGCCTCTTTGTCCCAACCTTTTTCATGTCTTTTTATGTCTATATATAGATGATACTAGAGATTAGTTAATACTAGTGCTAATAAAGCTATTTGAAATAAACTTAAGCAAATAAAAACAATAATATAAAATTACAAACCGTGCTTGAACAAGTGTTTCTCTAGCCATTTTTGCCAATGCATCTGCAGTATCAATGAAATATGCATTTTGCTGATCAAGTAGTGTTGAGATAGCCTTTCAAAAAAATAATTAAACAAAAATGTGAAATGACACATTAAAACGTTATGAAAAAAAACAATATAATAAAATATATTACAGAAATGTTTGTAATGTTTTAGTTCTACACAGTAATATCTTCTGATCACTTAAATTTTTAAAGCAAGCAGAAGATATTAGTATCAAAATTAGGTCAATTTTTTTTAATCGCAGAGAAAGAAAAAAAAAAGAATTATAAAAAAAACTAGCCATAATAAATGTCCTTTATTTTATTTATGCTAATTAGTTGTAACTGCACTTTAATACCTGACATTTGTCAACTTTTTCTGCACCTGATGCCCATTTAACAAGTGCTAATAACCGAATAAATTGTTGTCTTGCTTTGGTAACAAACTTTATAATTTCAACTTTTCTATAAACACATCATTGATAAATATTGTATAACTAAAAAAACTTAAATTGTCATGAATTAAATACAACTCAAAAAACAAAGTACCTTTCAATATCTGACTTTCTTGGTAACCTTTTAAATAAAAGACTTCAATTAAATTTATTTGCTTATTACAAACAACTTAAAACTGTTTTACAAAATACTAAAATAACTTAAAGTGCATGGTACAATTTAAAAAAATAAATTTTACTATTTATTTGTAAAAACACATTTTTAAAAGTTATACATTCTAATGCCTAACACTACTTTAAAAGAGAGATCAAAGATATTGTAAATAAGAATGTAGAATTTAAAACAAAGTAACTTGTAAAAAAAAGAAGAGTAAGAATGAATGAAAATAGAGGTGGCATTGAAAATAATAAACAAAAAATGATAAATTCTAACCCTAAAGCACTATATTTCAAGTTATTATATGATGCATTTTGACAAGACAAAACTTAAAGTATAAAATTTACATGTGATTAAAGTTATACATGTTTGTTTTTTTTGTGTGTGTGCGTGTGATAATTAGACAAATATCAGATAAGTTCTTTATATTTCTAATATATTTAGTACTGTTTCTAAGTTAAAAAAAAAGGTAGACACAACCAACAGAGAAGAACAGATTGGCTGAGCAGATCATTTACATTGCACAAACAACAGATCAGATTATAAAATTAGCTGTAACCCTAAAAATAATCTGCCAAATAAATTGGCAGATCACATATACACAAAGCACTCTGAATCAAAAGTTTTTTTTTGGTACGTAGTAAATGCCTTACCAATAAAAAAAAGTGATCTTCCATATTCTAATATGTGACCTGCCAAAATATTTGGCAAATCTTATGTTAGAATTAGGTTGTTTGGATTTCCACAAGATTATGTACAATGTATCAGATTTGATTAAAGATCGATGGTAAAATGAATATTCTATCATTAGCTTTATATTAACTATTGGCAATATACTCTTTTTACAATCAAACATGACCCATTGTACCTATATTGATTCTTTTTACCATTAAGTTTCAATAAGTACCATTTTTCATAGTATATTTGGCGGATCACAATGCAATAATTCTAATACTTGCTCTGCTGAATTATTTGGCAGATCACTTAAAAGTATTCAGCTTATTTCATAATCCAAAAGAATGTCTTTAATAAGAACTCAGATAATTTTATAATCTACTCAGCCGTTTGTACCATATAATAAATCTGCTTAGTTGATCTGCTCTGCCGATTGTACCTACACAGTGAAAATTTCATTTTGAGATGACAAATTTTAGTGGTGTTTACAATCTTTTTACAGAACAAAATCATTTCAATTATTTCAAAAGTTATATAAATTAGTGACACTCCTCTAGTGAATTTTTTTAAAAAAAAAGTAAGAAGATGTATGTTCATCTGGGAACAGCTGTACCAGTTGGAAATTTAAAATTACTTAAAAATTCACTGTTTTAATACATAAAAACTTAAACAACTGACTAGTTTTTGCATAAAAAAGTACATAGTAAACTTCTACTCACATTAAATTTGTATTGAATTTAACATAAAACCGCTTTTCTGATGAAAGACGTAAATATAAAAATATTGATAAAAAAACATAAAATATGCTGAAAAAAATGTTAAACTAAAAGAAAAGGCTCAATAGTTAATGATAAAAAAATTTGGATTTAATAGATTATAAAAGCATTACACCAAAAAAAAAATTCATAGTAGTATAATTCAAGTAGCTTTAATTGTATAAAACGAAATACTTACAGTTCAGATAATACAGTGAGATCATGATAGGTTTTTTGTAATAGAAAATCAATCAGCATCGATAAATTTATTCCTCTGCGAGAAGCCGAAGTGTGATGATGTTGTATACTCGCCATTTGTTTTTAATATTTAAAATAATTTCCGACGTTCGAGAGATTCCGTTTTAAGTAGTCACAATCTCCAAGTTTCAAAAAGCCGTTTAATTCGATGTCAAGTCAAAGTTTACTTCTTTCATTTTTAGTTGATATTTTTATTCGGATGATATCCTTCTCTCAACTTTATAACTCCATAACACGAACCTTAATAAACAAGGCCGCTGCGCGGAGAAACAAATTGAGTGCGGTACATTTTTTTCTGTATACGATGCTAATTTCCCAATCATTAAAATAAAGCTGCAATACACCCTGGATCACTAAGGGCCTTAAAAAATTGTCCAAAATTAAACAAAAACTATATATAAATTTTTTGAAAACAAAATCGAAAAAATTTACAAGGACTACAAAAATCTATTTGAAAAAATTCGCAAAAATCTAAAAAAAAATTATTACTCCCAATTACTCAATACATTTAAAAATGACACAAAACGCACATGGCAAATAATGAATGAAATTATTGGAAAACAAAAATCATGCTCAGGTTTTCTGCCACAAATGGTTAGAGTCGATAACAAAAGTTTATACGAACCAAGAACTATAGCTCAAGAATTTAACAAATTTTTTATCGATATAGGTCCAACACTTTCTAAAAAAATCCCAAAGACCAAATCTTTATTTACTGATTTTCTAGTACCATTGATAATTGCATTGGTTCAGTTGAGTTGTCTTCTGACTTGTTTGAAGAGTTTGAAAGAGCCTTGTTAAAAGAGCCTTGTTGAAAAGAGCCTTGTTGAAAGAGTTTGTTGTTTGAAAGAGCCTTGTTGAAAGAGTTTGTTGAGCCTTGTCAGAATTGTTTGAAGAGTTTGAAAGAGCCTTCAAATCTTTAAAAAAAAATAAAGCAATTGGAGCAGATGGAAACGTTATTATAGATTGTTTTGAACAGCTAAAAGTTGTTCTTTTTAAAAATTTTAAAGCTTCTATCCATCAAGGTGTTTTCCCCAAACTGTTAAAAATTGCCAAAATTATTCTATTTTTAAGAAGGGGACAAATCAATTATTAGTAACTATCGCCCTATTTCTGTTCTTTCCACATTTTCAAAAATTTTAGAAAGAATTATATATATCACAGATTATACAAATATTTTTATGTTAATAAATTACTTAACACTAATCAACTCGGTTTAAAAAGGATAGCTCAACTGAACATGCAATTATCCAATTTGTACGTGAAATCTCAAAATCATTTGAAAAATCACAATATACTCTAGGACTTTTTATTGATCTATCAAAAGCTTTTGATACGGTTGATCACCAAATTCTAATCTATAAACTTAAACACTATGGAATAAAAAATAAACTTTTAAAATGGTTTGAAAGCTATTTGTCAAATTGTAAACAATTTGTTCCGAGTAATGACGGTTATCATACCAATTGTCTTTCTATAACATGTGGAGTCCCACAAGGCTCAATTCTTGGTCCACTCTTTTTCCTAATTTATATTAATGATTTAAATAAAGCCTCTAAACTAACAAGTATTATGTTTGCAGATGATACTAACTTATTTCTTTCTAACAGTGATATCTTTGAACTTTTTAAAACAATGAACAAAGAGCTTATACATGTATCGAGTTGGTTTAAATGTAATAAGTTAACTCTAAATTCTAATAAAACAAAGTGGAACTTATTCCATTCGCTTTCCAAAAAACGGTCTTTGCCATTAAACTTACCTAAAATGTTTATTGATCAAAATGAAATAAAAAGGGATTCCGTAACAAAATTTTTAGGTATTTATCTTGATGAAAACATCAGTTGGAATCATCATATCGACTACATAAGCACTAAAATTTCAAAAAATATAGGAGTTTTATATAAAGCACAAATCTACCTCAATAAGAAAATTTTAATCAAACTTTATTATTCATTTATACACAGTTATTTAAACTATGCTAATATCGCCTGGGGTAGTACAGAAAAAAGTTGCAAGTCTTTATCGCCGTCAGAAACATGCTATCCGTTTAATCTGCTTTGCAAATCGCTTTTCTCACGCAAAACATTATTTTATTGAAATGAGAATTTTAAATATATACGAGCTAAATATATATCATGTTTTATGCTTTGTATACATGTGGAAAAATGACTTGTCTCAATCTGTCTTCAAAGATATTTTTACTCCGAAACCCATCAACAAATACAATTTGAGAAATATTGATTTTTTAAATAAAACTTTCTGTCAAACGAAATTTAATCAATTTTGTATTGCTTATCGGGCACCACACCTTTGGAATAAAATTGTTTTGCCTAATTTTGACTTCGAACTACCCATTACTTTTCGTTTTTTTAAAAGTAAATTAAAAAACCCTAATTTTTTCATTAGAAGACGTATTATGTTATTATTAATAATATAAATTAATAACTTTGCCTTTTCTTATTTATATTTGTAAAATGTTTATTCTTACTTATTTTGTCGATTTTATATTCTTTACTAAACGTATACGTTTATATAAAATATTGGTGAGTAGATCCGCGTGATCTCTCTTTGGATTATATAATATATATTTGGATTATATATATATGAAATTTGTAAAAATTTGATACTGTTAATGCTTGTTTGAACTTATTTAAGGTTCTGATGACAAGATCCTTTGATCTTCTTTCAGATACCTTATTTTATATTTGTGAAAGTTTATTATTATTATCATTATTTTTTTTTTGGCAATATATAGTTGTAATACAACCAAAAAATGTAAAATTAAAAAAAAAAAAAAAAAAATTTTGACATTGTGGGGATCGGGCTCGGAACTTCCCGCTTACGAAGCCAGTGCTCTACCACTATACCACTAATACACCAATATAGTGTGATATGCGGTAGTGAACTTCTGCATAATACGCCACTTTTAAAAACAGTTCAAAGTTTAGTTTATAGACATGATGTAATCAATACCAGCGTCATTATTTTTGACGTTTGACGTTTTAATTTTAAGACAACTATTTAATTGGCATATGCAAAGTTTACAATCGCAACTTATGAAAAAAAAATTACATCACCGGAACTAAAAGAAGATAAACTTAGTCTTATCGCCAAGTCCTGAATATCATTTATTGGATCTACGAAAATGTATCCAAATCTGATGTGATTTTGTTTTAAATAGGATCTTAATTGAGCAATAAAGATGCAGCATATTATTGGAGAATAAAGATAAATTTGCAATTTGCAATTAAATTTATAAGATAACACTGTCAAAAATACGATTTTTAGGTTTTTTTGATTTGGTGGATTTAAACTATTCATAAAGAAAGAGGGACAACTTTTTGATTCAGTGGATCCAGACACTGAAAAAAGAGGGGGCATAATTTTTAGGTTTGAATCATAAAACTTTTTTCATTAGTTTTTTCAGAATATAAGTCTTATATTATTTTAATCTATGTAACGATGAAATTACGTCATATTTATATTCCAAAAGTCTCTTTTTTTTTGCACCACACAAATTTGTTAAAATTTTTTAAAAAAGGGGTGGGGTTAATTATTTCTAAAGTATATAAGGGAGGGGGCGCACCCCTCTTAAATAATTTTAATAATTTTTATTAGAATCTTTCTAAAAATTCTATTTAGTGTATGTTAGATGAGTTTCATGGATGTTAAATGGGTTTCAGTGTTTGTTAAATCAATTCATGACAATATGAGTGTAAAATTATTGTGACAAAAATAAAATGCGATCATTAGCATGTATGCAATACTTCATTAACATGTATAGTATATACTTTTAACTTAAATTGCTTTTAAAACTATGCATGCTTACAGGGGCGTCTAAGTGTTGCTATGCCCTGGGCGTCATGAAAGCTTTCGGCAGCCTTAAGAACCCAAGACAGCAACCCTAATTGATGCCCATATATTTTTAAATTTATCTACATTATCAATGAACCTTTTTATTTTTAGGTGCCTTCTTTAGTATTTATTATTATTTTATGTATAAAAAAGAAATTTTAAACTTCCTAGCCTAAATACTAATAAAAAATAAATATTTAACAGTGCTGTAAGTTGGAGTCTAGAAATAGTAGACACAATTGCTTTTCACTATTGACTAGTATAGCAACGTTTTCATCGTTTTGTCAAATCAATGCCAAAACATTGTGCTGTTATTAATTCTTGAAAGAAAGTCCTTTTCAAAAGACATCAGCATGAATGATACTTGGCTGGCTCATCAAATTTACAATCATCAAAGTAACAACAAACGATACATTTTTTGCAAGATTTGCATTTATTTCTGTGGCTGTTGCTGATTTATATTATTATATAATATGGAATTTTAAAAATATTTTCAAATTCTATGGATTTAGAGGTTACTTGACACGTCTGTGTCAAATAATCAATTATATTTATATTCAAGCATTGTTTCGAAACTTTCCCATTTCCTTGTAAATTACAATAATTACGTTTGAAACTGGTCTTTTGTTACACTAGCATCAGCTAGTGTAACAGCTGAGCTCTGTATTTTGCCCACCAACGGGTTTCACCAATTACAGATATTTTATTCATGCCGAACATTGAAGCGTAAATATGATTCCCGTAAAAATACTGCACATGCGTTTAAAACGCCAAACAAGGTAACAACTCAAACCGCTTTTTTAGTAACGTTACCCATTATCAAATTTAAGACATAGGCATAACACCATACTAAATCTAACCCGGGGAAACTATATTTAACTAGATATTGAATCAGTTGTATTGACCTTGCAAACTGAACGCTCCATCTGTCATTGTATTGACCTTGCAAATTGAAGGCTCTATCTGTTTTATTGCCGATACATTTACTTATATAAATGCCTCCTTTTCAAAAATGCCACAAACCAAATCACACACTCCTTTTCCCGATGTTGATGTGCAATTGACTATCGATATCACACGCTCATGTACAGCTTTTGTTTCAAATCAGATTACAATACACTAGTCAATTCTAGGTCGTTTAGGTTAAAAATTTGATTACTTAAAAAAATTTTATTACAAAGTGTTCAGGACTATTATACAGACAATATTATGAAAAGAACAAATTATTTGGTGTACGTCCTGATGAGAAAATCAATTTTTAAAGGGGATCAGG